TTGGGCCTGCCATGGAAGTAATAAATCGTTGATACTCCCGAATGGAAAGTACCGCCCAAGAGCGTTGACACCGGGGTTCAGATAAATGACCACTTCACAGTCGCCAGCTGATTTAGGCAGCGTGAAGGCTTCCACTAATGTCAAGGCGATTCGAGTTCCTTCTGGCATAGAAGATAGCTGGTTATTGATAATCACATCACGACCGAGACAGATGGCACTGTTAGAGTGGCTAGGGGCTATTTTCGCGAGGACATGTGAGCTGGTTTTGAGATTGAAGCCAGTGGCCAACATGGTTGATGAGCCTGTATCGTCCCATCGTTTGGCCTATCGATTTTGAATCCACAGAAATGATGAATAGTGTATGAATCAGAGCGAATTGAAGCGAAATGAGTGAAAACAAGGAAGCTGTCAGCATGGAACCAAGCTTATACATCACGCTCGAAGGGCACGGCTCGTACCTCATTGAATTTGTATCCAGGAATCATGAGCATATTTCTTTTAAAGCTCATATTCGCGGGTTGGACCGCATGATAGTGAAGCCCAGACTGATGTCCATCCTGACGTCGCTTAACGGACGACACTCGACTTGGTTTGCTGGGTTGTGCATCCATTTAAAGGTGGAATAGAATGTTTTAACGATAGATGTAAGGGTCTACGCTGAGCGAGCGTGCCCCGGTTGCAAAGTACGGATACAAAAGGTTGCGAGGACTGTTCCTTGAAGAAGTTGTGGAAAGATCCGGTTTTAGTGTTGTATAAGGATGAGAAACCGCTCAGCCCACTACTTTCATGTATTGATTTCGCGCGAGCTGTGGCAGAAGATGGTCCAATAGGTACAGGTAAGAGTCGAAACTTGGGAGGCGCAACTCAGGCCACCCCAAACGTCACAAACCACACATGAATAACCAGTTCATCGATAATGTTTTCGATAATTTTCAGAATGCAAGTCGAGGTTTCTTCCAAGTTTCGCGACCACTTCCAAGATGCGGTTGATAGATCGCCGTCATCACTCTATAGCAGCCCCAGTGTCGATCCACTGGTGGAGATCGGGACATTACTACGCGCTTGGCAGACAAAGGACGGTATAGTTTCTATATTAGGCAATTCTGAGACAACTTTATCAATTTCAAATTGTAGCCGACCTCTTCACCAAACTCTTGATAACCGCCTTTAGAACTTGGACTCCTTCCTCGATGGTCCCATCAGGTGGGACGTGCACAAACAGCACTCTTCCCGCTCCCTGTGGGCCATAGCGTGCCAATGCCTCTCTCAGTGAAGAGTAGTAGATAAAGTCACATAGGAAGCGACCAGCATCATCGGAAGGCTCAATCGGCATCGACTAAATGGGTCAAGAGGTCAGTCTAAGCCCAAAGGACCGAGCATACGGTGATACTCACCAAAGTCGTCAGTTCCTTCCTCACATCCTTCAACACTCCTTCCACGTCTACACCAGTTGAGATGGTCTCTGAAGAGTTCTCGTCTATGATAGGGTACCCTCTTTCATCCTCTCGCATTGGCTGCTGTCCGCCTTGATCCTGTTCGATAGCTGCAAATGATTGATATCGTTTCTGTATAGGAGCTCGTTCGTTTCTCGTATCGGTCTTGGTGTATCCATCACGATGCGCCAGCTTCTCGAGAGTATACTTGCCATAGTATCCCGCTCCAATGTGAATAAAGATGGGCTGCTCAGGGTTATATGGACCTGTGGAATCAGATGAAGGTAGGACTGTAAATTGATCGTAGAGGGAGGTGACCGCAGCGAGGACAGGAGTCCATGCGACCTCGATCGGGTCTGGGTTGAAGAAGAAATTGAATGGAATAGGTTGTGGTTTATACTCTGCAGCAAGCTCTGCAGGCAACCTTCTTGCTATCTCAAAAGACGGATTGATCGTGATGTTTCGAAAGGGCTACCATGAATTGATTATCATATCGATGAGGAACTACTAAGCTATCTTAAGTTTGGACGATAGGATGAGCGGTACATACACCAAAACCAGTAACCACAACTTGTTTAACCTCCGAACGGTTAGCCTTGCGAGTGGCGTATTCGGTCAACGGATCTTGGGCAATCACCGGCATGATGTATACGAGGGGCGTTGAGCGCTGTTATAGTGATAGATATACCATAAATATTAACTCGA